AGCTGGATTCCATGCAGATCTCTTTGTCTCCTGAATCAATAGAAGAAAAACGCGCTTTTATAGACACCTGTATGGATCAATATGAATATTTAACCATGCCTATTTGGTTTAACGAATGCACCATCTGTTTACGTACATTAAGAAGCAATAAACAAGGGCTCTTGGAGATTTAAGGGGGAAAGACGCTCTTGTTTATATGGATGACGTGTTGATACCAAGTAAGACAGTTGCCGAAGGTTACAGAACCTTGAAAGAGTATTACAGGCTTTAACTAAAGCAGGGTTTTCAATTAAACTTAATAAGTGTTCATTTCTTAAAACCTCGGTCGAATACCTTGGATTTATTGTTTGTGATGGTACAGTGAGACCTAGTCCAGCTAAAGTCGAAGCGTTAGCGAGATCGCTGCCTCCAAAGAACGTCAAGCAGCTCAGACAATTTAATGGCTTGGCAGGTTATTTTAGGCGTTTTATACCAACTTCTCCACAGAAATGGTACCTCTCTACAATTTGACTAAATCAAATGTGAAATGGGAATGGACAGCTGAACATGAAAGTGTAAGATCAAAAATTATAAATTACCTAACGTCTGCACCCTTGCTAACCATTTTCAAGGAAGGACATCCCATCGAACTCCACACGGACGCTAGCGCCATGGGACTCGGAGCAGTTCTTATACAGTCACATGAAGGTGTTCGACGTGTCATTGGCTACTTTATCATGAGAACAACACCTGCTGAATCTAAATATCATAGTTACGAGCTTGAGACGCTCGCAATTGTCAGAGCTATTAAGCATTTTCGGCATTTCCTTTACGGAAGGAAGTTTACAATAGTAACTGATTGTAACGCTGTTAAAGCATCACGTTATAAACAAGAGTTACTTTCCAGAATTTACAGATGGTGGGCGTTCTTACAAAACTTCGATTTTGAAGTGGAGTATCGAAAAGGAGAAATACTTAAGCACGCTGATTTTTTCAGCTGTAATAAACTACAAGTTGTCATGAATTTAAGCACTAAAGATGATTGGTTAGTAATGGAACAACGAATAGATCCTGAGTTAAGCAAAATTATTGAAGATCTTTCTAAAAATAATGCCGTGAATGTCGAATATGAAGTCAAGGATAACATTTTATATTATAAAATGAATGTAAAATGGCAAAATGAAACTCGTTAAAGTTGTACCGCAGTCTTATCAATGGAGTCTTATTAACACTTACCATGAAGCACTCAAACACATGGGATGGGAAAAAACTCTAGCGAAACTTAAAGAAAACTTCTGGTTTCCTAAAATGTCAACAGTAGTAAGATACTTTGTTGAGCACTGCATTATTTGCAAGACTATGAAAGGACCCTCCGGAGCTTCGCAGAGCCGACTACATCCACTCGAAAAAATAGCAGAACCATTTCACACGATACATATAGATATCTCAGGGAAACTCAGTGGAGCTGCAGCCCAAAAAGAATACGTATTTGTAGCAATTGACGCTTACACCAAATTTGTTATATTACAGTATGCCAACAATAAAAATCAATCTAACGCTCTGAAGCATCTGCAGGAAGTGGTTTTCCTCTTTGGAGCTCCTAAAAGAATAATAGTTGATGGTGATGGTGCTTTTACTTCCCACTATAAAGCTTTTTGTCAAGCATATGGAATAGAATTACATCAATGTGCTGGATACACAAGTAGAGGGAATGGACAAGTTGAAAGAGTTATGAGAATCATAAAAAACGGCCTTACGATGATCAAAAATACCCAGAAAGCACATTGGGAAAAGTCACTCGGAAGCTTTGCAGTTAGCAATAAACTGTACGTTTTCAAAATCGACAGGACAAACTCCAATAGAATTATTAACAGGCAAGAAAGGATGTGTACCCCCACAACTACTGAATCTTATTGATGATGAAAATGAACGAATAAATCCAGAGGCTATGAAAGATATTATCATTGGAAGAATGGCCGAGCAGGCTGAAAGGGACAAAATACGTTATAATAGCGGGAAAGCAAAAGTAAAAAGATTCATGAAGGGAGAATATGTTTTATTAAAAGAACGACATGCGACTTGGTACAAAATTGAGCCAAAAATTCGATGGGCCATATGAGGTGATAAAGGTGTTGCCGCATGATCGGTACGAAATTCGTCGTAGTAATCACCGTGGCCGATCAAGGAAAGTATGTCATGAAAACCTACGCAGTGCTCCAAAGTTTGGTGTACAAAGTGATGTGGCCGTATCGGCGATGAATAGAAGTCTTGATGAAGAATAATGTGATGTGTGCCAGTGCTTATGACATGTGTGAAATGTGTATAAGACAAAGTGGTGAAATATGTGACGAAAAGCAACACTAATGTTAGTGAGTTTATTAATTTTATAATGTGAATTGTTACGTGGTGCATGTGTTTTACGAGAAAGCCAAAATGAGCGCCGAGGCTCTGAGGCTGGACCAAAATTAGCGCTGAGGCTATGAGGTCATAGAGATTTTAAGATTAATTAATCATTTTTATGTGGTTGCTGCGAGATAGTTATGTGTTTAGATTTTTGTGCTTAGCTATTAGGATTTTTATTAAGGTAAATTAACTGATTATTTTATTTTTCCAGATGAAAATTAATCATATTGACGCAGTGACGCGCCTGATGTCAGTATGGGCCGTATCGGCGCGAGCATTTAATCGACGATTTATAGAAAAATTTGATGTTTAATCGATTATTATTATCTGTCGCCCCACTCTTATATTTTAATATAAAAGTCGGATTGCATCGTAGAGTGGACACATTCGTTTGTCAGCTCTCTAGCTGAAAGCTCTGCCCAAATTGATAATTATTTGAAGGCTAGATAATTATATTAAAATTATATAGTTATTTTAGTAAATGTTTAGTTTATTTGAATATTATTTGTTTTAAATTATGAGTTTATTGAATTAAATATCTTTTTAAAAGGAATTGTAATTTAATGAAATTTATTTTATTTAAAAGTTTTTCTTTATAATTTTGTGTCTTTTTACAAGTAAATGATTTTGAATCTATTTATTAATTAATGCAGTTGTTCATATAAGATAAGTTGTTTTGTTATTTATATCAGCTTTAATGATTGCTTGAGATCGCTATTATCGATTTTATTGTTATGGAAATAATCTATATAAATAAGTGTATGTTTCAGTGTTTATAGAATAAAAATATGGAAGCTAATGGTGGTTTGAATCCTTCCGACAACCCTTCTCTTACATGTATATATAAAAAAATAGTTTAGCGCTACGTCATTTTTATTAAAAAAACAGCTTAAGTTAAAGTAACAGTATAATTTGTAAAAATCAAAGCAATTTTTAATGAGTTTAGTTATTTATATATATTATTTTTATACAGGGTAGCAGATCCTTCATCGCCAATGGACTTGAATTACATGAAAAGATTAAAATTTTACCTTAATTTGATGGGAGCATGGCCTTTTGAAGATCTATATGATTTATATAAAGAGAAACCAAAACGCGTCCCTTTTAGAAACAGCAAAAGTTTAATCGCCTTTTGGACTGTTGTATTTATCAGTGAATTATTATATATAAAGACACATATTAATGAACTCAACTTCTTCGAGCTTGGCCATAGTTATATTATTGTTTTTATGAATGTTGTTGCTATAGTAAGTCTATTTTTATTATAATATTTGTACTTATTACAATTAAATTAACGTAGTTATTTTGGCGCTTCGTTAATGTGGAGGAAATAGGAATGTTAACTCGGTTAAAGCTCATTTACTATGTGTTTGTATTCCCTTATCTCAGCAAACGGCGGTGTTATTTAAAAAATGTATATTGGCATAATATTGTCTTAGATTTTCGTTAATTTTTCGCTCTCGTGGCTATGATTGCTTTAAAGCATTATTTCGGGTACCAAAAATAAATATATTATAATATAGAAAAAAATCCGAAAAGACGACGAAGAAGTTTTATTTAATAGTATTAATATAGATTTGTTATTAGAAAAAATTAGTTATTAAATTTAGAAAAAATTTGACAACGTCAAACCAAAATTTATAGTGTGATTAAAATTTATTTTAAAATATATACGAAAATAACATTAAACTTTAATTAATAGTATAAAAAAATGTTTTTAAAAGACAAAAATATCGAAAGTGTATCATATTAACAAGACATAATCAGAGATATATAAGAGACATATCATAAGACATATTCCGCTATAAACAATAGCATTCCCAAGGAGGGTTGACGTCAGGCAGGGCGGCCGGTCGTAAAACTTTTGCCAAATCCTTTCAGGTCAGTACAGAGGATGTATTGGCGCCGACCCGTAATTGGGAAATGGGCAGGGAGAAGAAGAAGAAGAATATAGATTTGTTATACACACCTATATCACCTTCATTAAGGAAGTTTTAAGCATAAATACTATATGTCTGCTTGCGTGTCCGACCCGTTTGTATATTGAACGGATTTCATATGAACCAGCTATCTACTAATTAATAATAAGTGCTGATGAACTTAATACACTTGATATTTAACAAAACTTTCTTATTAATATCGCAGCAAAGAGCTACAATGCCGTTCATGAAATCGTATCGAAAAACTATTTTTCAATTTGTATCAAGTTTTCATCTTTTTCATCATAAACAGAGAATCAAATTATGCAATGAAAGTAAGTAAAGTGTACATTTTTTAAATACATTTTTAAGCATTAAATATCTAAATTTGTTTTTATTAGTTTTTATTTTTATTGATAGCGATGAAACTTTAGTGAGTTATTCAGCATATGCCCGCGAAGATTGCTACACTAAAAAAAATTCTTTAAAACTTTGTCCTCTATGCGTTTCAAAGCCATTCATATCCAAGGAATAAACCGAGGGTAAATGCTAGTTACATATACATTGAATTTATTTCATCTAATTTGATAATCGCAATATTTGTCAGATTTTAATGAACCATAAACATTTAATAAACATATAATAACAATGCATAAGTCGAAGCGGGTCATCCTACATAGTGTTTAAAACCTTTAGAGCGGACCTTATTATTTTGTTCAAAAATTTGTATTGTAGTATCAACCATAATCTCTTACGTCTTACGGTGAAGGAAAACATCGTGAGCAAACCTGCATGTCTGAGAGAACCTAGCAAGTTCTCGAAAGACATGTGAAGTCCACCAACCTTCACCTGGCCATCGTGGTGGTTATGGCCTGATCCCCCTCGTATTAAAGAGAGGCCGTGCCCTGCAGTGGGAAGTTAAAAAGTGTTGAATACATTACTTATATTGTATTAAATTCTACACACTTTTTTAATAGAAGAGACACTATGTAATATAATATAATATGATAGGGTTCCATAAGCCTGAGACTCTATTTTTAAGTTCTCTGGGAATAGAATCTTCAAATCCAACTAAATAAAATATCAATTTACAGGTACACAAACAGGTTCACAATTTGTCATCATTTTTCACAATTATCCTTTACTTCCAAATGTACAGTGGGTCGATTTTATTTAACATAACTCCATTTTACAATAATATTCAGTCAGGGGTGTTTAAAGTAAAACATGGATTAGATAATGATACACAATCGACTATACGGTACGAATATTCTGTATACCACTACATTCCTTCAGAAGTTAACAACATTGGGTATGGATTTGTTGCTCTTTTTAACTACTACATGACATTGGATGGTGCTTCGACATTTTGTACATATGATGTTCTCATGTGCCTCATAATATTTCACGTTTGGGGCCATCTGAAAATTTTAAAATACCATCTAGAAAATATCCCAAAACCAACGATAGAAAAATATGTAGAAGGAAATTACTCTATTAAAGTGGCAATGTATACTAAAGAGGAGTTAAAAACAATTTTTGTGATACTAAAAGAAAATATTGAACATCACAAGCTGATTATGGAGTAAGTACATAGGTATTAATAAAATAAGAAAATATAATATTGTTATATTAAGTGGTTCGAATAATAAAATTTTTGTATGTTATGATAATGTATTTTAAAAACAAATGAAAATGAAGAACAATATAAAAATACTTATTCAAAATTCAAAAAAAAAACGAATGTTTGCCATTTTGTCAACTTAAATAACTTACACTTTCTTTATAAACTTTATCAAAGTACAATATACAAATTATACAGTTAAAAAATTCTTCTTCTGTAGGTACGAGTAGAGTCATCTGTAGGTAGATCAAGAGTACAATATTATTTTCAATTAGGCTTAAAAACAAAAAAAAACTAAAAACTTGAATAAATACAAAAAAAACAAAAGTATAATCTTTGTATTCGACCGGGATTCGAACTCAGACACCTGTTATTGTCAATCTTCGCTATCGCCTTGGCCGCTTGACCACGATGTTTATATGACTGGGAGTGTGAAATTAGCAATCATATTTTGCGTGGAATAAATATAATGCGAAAGAAAACCGCATGAAAACTCGAAAACACGCGTCTGTCCAGTCATAAGACTAATCTAGATCGAATTTTCTCCCCTGAAAACCTTCACATACCAAATTTCAGCGAAATCGTTAGAGCCGTTTCCGACATCGCCGGTTTATAAATATAAATATGTTGGTATGTTTATATAAATAAATAAATATATGAGAATTGCTCATTTAAAGGTATATAATAATACTCCTACATGCATACTAATAATAAAAATACGATAGGAACTTTATTGTATACTTTTCTATGAGCTTTTACCTTCTTTTTTATCATTAACCAATTACTAAAAAAAATTAAGAATGTCTAAGCTCCCGAGGAGCGATGGGCTAATATTTAAACTTTTTAATTTTTTATCCAGGTTTATTAATTTGGCATCAGACGCTTTTGGTATGATGATGTGCTTCTACTACATGTTTCATCAAATTGTCGGGTGCATATTACTTTTGGAAATATCTGCTTTGGTAAGTTATTCAACTTGATTAACTTCAATAATTTATTTGAACAAAAATTACCATACTTAAAATTAATTAAAATATTTTATTTTCTTCACTTGAATGATTGAGGAGAACGATTTTTTGTATACTGGTATTTTTTCATATTATTAGATCGATATATTTAGTAAAACAAAAAAATTTGTTAATATGACATTAATATTTAAAATATTCTTAAATGATTATGTAAATTTGCCGAAATTATTGTACAAAATTGGACTTTACTATACTTATTATTTTTTTCCAGGATACTAAAGCCATCGGTAGTTACGGTGTTCTTACAGTTGTTATGTTTCAACAGTTAATACAAATATCTATTATATTCGAACTTATAGGACATAAGGTATGAATCCATAAATAATATGTAAGTATACGATTATATAGCGGCTTGAGAGACAATCTAACTAAACCACATGTTCTGAAATCTGCATTTTTATTAACATTGTAGAGCGCTTTGCAGAAAGAAGAAATAGATAACAAGTTTTATTAAAAAATAGATTTATTAAAAAATTGTGTCCTTGCAATTGATACTATTGGTATTTGTAATGTATTTTTACATTTTTATATCAGACATTGAAATGGTTCCAGGGGAAGAAAAGTTAAAAAAAAATCAACAATAAATTATTTTTTTAAAAAAATTTCTTAATTGAATATGTTATTAAAAGACTTTCTTCTTACAAATTATCTTCTAATCACGTCTACACTAAATATGGAAAAATAAAACGTTAAAAATAAAATAAAAACCGACTTCCAGGCACTAAAATGTAAAAAAATAACTATACGGTTTTAATTTGTGCTTTGTATGTTGATTGCGAAGTAGAAGATTTTTTTTTTATCAAAACGTTGTTTTTGCACAATACAGATTTTAAAAGATAACATATCAAAAAACCTTATAAAACTATGAATCTTTTTATGTTTGCATGTACATTATTAGATATTTAAGAGGCATTAGAGGTTCACACAAAAAATATGAACAAGTTGTAATATACGTATTTGTGGGATTTTTATCTGGTTTTAGAGTGAAGCAATAAAACATGCTGTGTATGATATACCTTGGGAGTGCTTGGATGTAAAGAACAGAAAAATATTATTATTTTTTCTATGTAATGTCCAGACACCTATAACCTTGAAGGCAATGGGGATGGTATCTGTTGGGGTACAAACTATGGTGGCTGTAAGTTTATTGATTAATTCTTTTTATTATTTCTATGCATATTTATGATAAATTAAACTAGCCGCTCACCCTCGCTCGGGTTCGTCCCCAGGTAGATATATTATATTTAATACTGCCCCACTCCCTTGGGTAGTAGCATGATGATATTATATAGCCTACTAGCGGCTTACCCAGGCTTCGCTCAGGTTCATTTCTAGGTTCGTTTTGATAGTTAGTATGGAATAGATATACTATATTATTATGTACATAGGTATATTGAGTTTTACATCCCTTACTTGAGAAATGATTGATTCCCCATACAAACTTACATCTTTCTTTTCACCCCCTAAAGGGATGATTTCTAGGGTAAAAACTATCCTACTTCCTTCCCAGGTTCTCAGACTATATCTTTACTAATTTTCATCTAAATCAGTTCAGCCGTTTAATTGTAAAAAGGTAACAAACAAACGAACGAACGAACGAACAAATAAATAAACATAGTTACTTTTGCATTTATAATATTAATATGGATATATAGAGGTTATTGACATTATACGAAAAGGAAAAATATATTCTTGCTAGCGGCTCACCCGCGCTTCACTCTAGAAAAACAGAAATAAATCTATCCCACGGGAACTGTACATTTTTCCTGGATAAAAACTATGTGCTATGCCAGACTCTATCTCTGTGCCAAATTTCTACAGTCATACAAAATATTTACTAATACGTACAAATATAAATGTAGGTAATTATACTTTTTTACAGATTCTTAGAACTTCATTCTCCTATTTTATAATGCTTCGGACCTTCACGGAGAACTAGTTTGACTAACAATGTCTAACATTTTTTTCTTCATATGTTAATATAATAATAGCTTTATCTGTTGCACTATTTTTAATTATTCAACGGTATAAGTACACATTTAATAAAGTCACTTAATAAGCTTGTGTTTATTGAAATTACTCAATAAATTATAACTAAAACCAAGTCACTCTTTTATTTTCATTTTTATTATTTAAACGGTTTGGTTTTTATTTTGTAGCGCAATATGCATTCCTATTACATAATACGTTATTGTTTTAAAAAAATATTTCATCTACAGATTACGCTAAGTTACTGTTTTATTATAATTTAGATAAATAAGGAATTCCAACAGAAAAGTATATATAAAAATAACAAAAATAAAAGTTTATTGGAGTGGGCTAGTGAAAATACCATGATAAATTATTTCTACTCATCATCATAAGTTACTTTTACTTTTACTCGTTTTGAGGAATGAACATGGATTTCGAACTGGTTTCCATTGTATGTAATGTGTGTATACAAAGCATTAACTTTAGTTATAAGCCTTTAGTCTATAATTATTTGTATGTGATGTATTCACAATAGCTATATGTTCCTAATAAGGAACATTAAAAGTACTAACTCGTACCTTAGCGACAGCTCCATACCAATACTATACAGATTTATGCGATTATTTGAAACCAAAAATCAAAATAAATCCGCGAAAAAATCTGAAAAGATAGTTTTATTTAAATTTCCATCCAAGGTTCAAGAAAAAAATAATTTACGTAATCAGTTATTTTTAGAGTTGGTGCCAGCTGGCAAAGGTATGTACACGAATATGAGGTACTGGTCATTTTGTGAGGTCCACTTTTTGCAAATTGATAAAATATGTAGTAGGTACATGCAAAATGATTTTAAAATCACTCAATTATATTATTTACCAGCTATCATCATACCAAATTTCATCAAAATAGTATATCAGTCATCAGTAAAATAATATATCCAGTGGTTATTGTACAGATTCGGCTAAATCACCATTTTATTATTATGTATAGATGAAATCAATATTTTTTATGAGATCTTTTTTCATTAGAGTTTTAAATATTTTTTTTATTTTAGAAATATGTACTTATATATTATTTTTTACGCTAAATCATTAAAATCGTAATAAAAACTTATATATATATATATAAGTTTTTTTTGCTGGCACCGATTTCGAAAATATTTGATTAGGTATGTATAGTAAATGAAAACTACCAATCAGTTATTTGTTACTTTTTAGTGCTTTTGTTTGAAGTCGGTTTTAATTTTTTTTGTTAAAAAGTTTTTATTTTTCCCTTTTTAGTGTAGACAGTAGTAGCAAAGTAAGAATTCTAACGTGTTAGGCTTGTCAAATCAAACAAAATAAGCCCAAACTCAAAGTATCTACTATTAGCCGTTGAAGAGTTCCACCTATCCACCTTCTGGCCTTACCATCAGATCAGGTCAACAATACCGGACCACTGTACTATCAACGGAAATAGAAACTCTTGCAAAGTTTCAAGTCAATATGACAATTAGAAGTAGGTTAAACTCATCATTAGCTATTTTTTCACCCATATGGGTGGTATTTTTTTTTGAAATTTAAATAGGACCAATCTGGGAGTATACACTTTCAAACAACACAAAAATTGTCCAAATCGGTTAATAAATGACGGAGTTCTGAGGTAACAAACATTAAAAAAAAGCAGTAGAATTGAGAACCTCCTCCTTTTCGAAGTCGGTTGAAAATATTTAATGTACAGGTTCGACCCAGTTAGAATTTTATTATATGTAGGTACTAGCGGCTCACCCTCGCTCGAAAACAAGAACAGACCTATCCCACGGTAACCGTACATTTTTCCGGGGTAGCCTATCTATCTCTGTGCCAAATTTCATCCAGATCCGTTCAGCCGTTCTGGCGTGAAAGAGTAACAAACATACATACTCATAAACTTTCATATTGATAATATTAATACGGATAGATATCATATATGTAAATAGAAACAGAACTTTTAATAAAATATCTATTAGGAACTTCAATAAAAGCATACTGCGGCTAAGTTGAATATTAATTACAAAGTTGATATCTATGTAATATGTACAATGTGCATAGACACTAATATTATTAAATTATGTATTCAATTTCAAATATATTTGAAATCATATTTGTTTAAACATTCTTACTTGAATAAACTGTAGCAAAGATAATGATAATAATAGTTAATCAAACACGAATTAGAATAATCTATAGATCATCAGAAAATTAAAGTGTTTATTTGCAATATCAAAAATTATCTTGACAAACTGACACATCAATTTTATTTATCTGTTATTATACATACAGACTTATTTTGGCTTTTTACAAAATGCATACGAAATTATATACGGTACTTATAAGAAAAACACAATTATTAAAATTGTACTGTCTGTTTGTTCTTGCTAATCTCCAAAAAGGTTAGACTGATTTTAACGGGACTTTCAGGAGTAACTTAGGCTACTTTCATTTTAGAAAAAAATAGGGTTCCGCTCAAAAAATATATAGCGTATCTATGTATTATACATAGGGACGCACCCGAGTGAAAAGAGGGTAAGTCGGTAGTATAATATATAAACGTAAAAATATAATGGACCAGTGGTAGGCAATTGAGGGCGGCACACTATCCGTTTGCAGCATTTACGAGTACAAACAAAAAAAACAAATGTTGCTATACTTTTTTATCCTTCTGTCTTGAGACATCAGCATCTGTTACGCCCGTTATTTAGTGGATAGCACCCGATTATTCCCGAGATTAGTATATGGTTTACTTATTCGATAAAGGAGGATGTTTTTCGAAGGAGACTATAGGTCGATCGAGAACACTTGCTAGCTACGCTACTGTATTCGATTTCTGTGTAACTTAACTCATTATTTATTTATAGAGAGTAAATGAATTGAAAAGCTTTAGAATTTACTAGCTTAGTAATTAATACTTGTTTAAGCAGTGAAATTATATTATAATTACTTATCTTAATCAAATATACACGAAGGTTTTGAAAGACTAATATAATTTTAGAGTAATTTTATTTTCATAATGTAAAACTATATTACTTCGTTTACGGACGTCGCTATTTTTGGTACCTATAGGAAAGTTATTATATCCTATGTGATTCATGGATGTACAGTATATGGATAAAATTTATCCTATAGCACTTTACGGCTTATTCTATTCTACTATGTATCTCTTTGCCAAATATTAAGTTTAACATGAGATCATAATTATGACCTAAGAAAGGTGGCGGGCAGCGGATGGATGCGTGCTGCGCAGGACTGGGATGGGACTTATTAGAGAACTCTGATTCAATTTAGACGTTTCAAACACAGTTTATTATTATTAGATGATTATTCGATGGCTTTACCCGCATTTTTTTATTTATATATCTATATTAAATACACTCTATATTAACTACATTCAAGTCAATCGTATATATGTACATTATACAAGCTAATTCACAATATACAAATCACAGTTTTGGATTGTAAAACTGTGGTATAATTATGTAAACTTAATGTAATTTCAACTATATTTTTACATCTAACTAGTATTAATTATATAATAATCAATATAATTAATCTTCACATTAAAATATTACTTGAAAATTGAAATATTAAAACTTACAACCTGCTGATTTTGTTACAAACAATAGATAAGTGTTTTTCATTCTGTATCCAGGACAATAGCCTTTCGTATTATGATGTTGAACTTAGATGACTCGTTCACTTAGAAGTTATCTGAATAACTTGATGATGTTCTCCCGAACGATTCCGGCCACGGCGGCCAATCTCATTGAAACTAGCCAACTGCGCAGGAGATATTATAGTGCACAAGTGTACGCACAGACACAACGTGCACTCTCTATTCCTGTCACTCTCATACTCCGGTGGGATGACTGCTCGACACGACCGGTGAGAGTTAAGGCGCAGGACCGACAGCTTTACGTGCTCTCCGAGGCACGGGGGTGAAACACCGCCAACTTCCCAACTCCGGGCTGTTATTGAGGCTTACTATACAGAAAGACTCAATAACTAAACTTGGCCCGACCCGGGACTCGAACCCAGGACCTCCGGGTGTACAACCGTACATGCTAGCCACTACACCACCGAGGCAGTTTCTGAATAACTTATCGGACTTCTTTCAAATGGCTTTTTCCACTGAGATAACAATTTTCTTAACCTCGATGTCTCTCTGTATGTACTTACTGGCAATATCCGAAAATGTTGGAGTGATAATAACTTAAACAGGCGTCCATTGCTGTACATAGGTCTTCGCCAAATATTTTATGACTACCGATCTTGTGTCATAAGCATCCAGTAGAATCCACCAGCTTTAGCCAAGCCCGCCAAGTTCACGTTGAGGGAGACCTGGCGCCGCTTCGCCTTTCTTTGAAATCATATTTTTATATTATTTTAAATAAGAATTAAGTTTATCTAATCATAGCTGGCAGTGTTATTATTAAAATAAACACCACTATTACCATTTGCCTGTATATGATATTGCTTTGGTTAACCACCAGCCTTTCAATGATGACAATTAGCCATTGATATGACTAAAATACGATGTTTAATAAATGAATATGAATTTTCATTTATTGCTTGTGACCTATTTTCACTTCACAAATCTGTTATAATAATATTATTTAGTCTCTATTCGGTATTTATAGAACTTAATTAAATAGATGCATATCTAATAAATGGAAATAGAAGATTAATGTGAAAGGAGCAATGAGAAAGTCTGATATAGTAATAAGCTTTTACCTCAAAATAAACTTTATATAATTAGATGCTTTTACATATAGTTCTTACTCACGAAAAGTAAAAAATATCATTATCTGTCAGTAAGTTATCGAGTGTTCTTTTAAATTTATTCAAAACGCAATTTATAGAAAGGGACAGACAGATCAATGTCACGTGAACCGTTCATTTTTCCGGGATAAAAAGTAACCTGTTGTTTGACCGGCAATATAAGGTATCAGCGTGCCAAATTTTACTAAGTTAGGGGCCTAAGTTGTCGTGTACTAAGCTGTATAATTTACTATAGTTTTTTAACTATCCCACGGGAACTTTTTAATTTTCCGGGAATAAAAGTATCTAAAATGTTGACCGGGGATAAAAGGTAGAGTAAGGTAACGCTAGGCGTTATCAGTTTATTTTTATTTCTAGTATTTTCTCTGTGTCTGTAGTGACAGTATGTCTTGAATAGTAATGAATGATATTTTGTCGGACAAACATAATATTACAATATAAACATTACATTTAAAAAAACGTTTATTTTTCGATATTTTAAAAGTTATTGTGCTATTCGGGGCAAAGACAAATCCAACAAATCAAAAACCATGAAAATCAGTCCAGCAGTTCTCGAGTTAAGTGTTGTAACAAACCCGAGTTTGTTTTATATATATGTATATAGATGTAGTTGTCGGTCAATAAAACTATTCTAGGAATCACCGTAGTATCTTTAATAGCTGAAATTTAACCAAGTTTTGCGATGTGTAGGAACTAGTTTGCATGTTCACTTGAGAAATTCAATTTTGTGAATAGCCGAGCGTAATTGTTAGAGTTCTGTAATTAACAAATGCAGGTAAGCAAATACATAATAATGAGGTAATAATTGACATATAAATATAACCATTTTTAATACTTATGTTAAATAAATAAATAATAATAAATAAATATTAAATATGTTGGGACATTAACCCAGCACTATCTAGTTCCATGGTAAGCTACGAGGCCTGTGTTATGGATACCAGATAGTTGATGATGCACTACACGTAATTAATAACTTTAAATACTTACATATTAAAATAATAAAAAATATAAATATTTTTTACAATAATATACCTATAGAGAAAACATGGTTTTGGGTTTTCAGTAGATATTTTTAATACAGTTTTTTTTATATTTAGGGTTTCGTAGCCTAAATGAAAACCATAATCCTTATAATTTTTACAGGTCCATCTGTCATTCTGTCCGTATGTCACACGCATTTTACTCGGAGAATATTTCAGGTACATGAGGGAAATTTGATAAATAGATATCTCATGTAAGCCGCTTAACAATTCTACAGTCAAATTACGAAAAAAATAATGATAGCACTACACATATGCAATTGAGAAATGAAAATGTGGAATGGGTTTTCAGAATTATTATCACACCTTTCTATGTTTTCTGGTTAAAGTAAATGGCCATAGATAATTATATTAAACTTAATGCGAGTTCTATCCTATGGATAAAAAGAGCTATAAAAATAACTTTATCCTAAGTAATATGTGCTTGTCTTGAGTCCACCCTAGTACGTCAAGGTTTAACTTAACTCAGTACAATCAATAACATAACTTGCCTTATCAGGTCTGTACGTCCTTTTTTAAAATATTGTTAAATTTTATATATTATTAAATGGGTATGGTTGTACTTTTATTAAATCTTAACTTTTAGTTTAACAATGCGAAATGCTAGGTAATGTTTGATGCTATGTAATCCTCAGCGCTTGAGCTAAGTTCAAACTTGTCAAACATCGTTTTATCGTTAGGTAATATGTAGATATATTATTGCACAGCTTGTATAGTATCTAAAACACTTAATTTTAATGCTTTTAGTTTTACTAACATTTTACGATATTCATAACCTGCCCACATTTTTTACATTTCCCTTTTTTATTATTTCAGGGACCCTACGTTATAACAACCTATACATACGTGTACATAACAAGTTAGTAAAATATTTAATTAATATGAATATTTTCATTTACTTAAACGAAGCGAAGTAAATTCAATCCATTTCACCATAATATGTGAAGGCCTCCCTCATTTAGAGTGTTAAATCAATGATTGTTTTAGATCACGTTGTCAGATCCTAATCTTATCATTGAGATGTGGGTCCGGGTCATGAATTTTAAATGTCTAAACAAAATGTCCAACATTGCTACTATACATTTTGCTACTTGGCACATTGTAGATATAATAGCAAAAAAATTAAAATTGTCTTATTATAAACTCAAACCCTTACTAATATTTACAACGATAGGTAATAATCTAAATTATTGTCTTGCAATCTTGGACTCTTTTTTTAAATACTATATTCTAATAAATACTTTCTTAAATTTACGAGAATATTTAACATTTTAAATGACACCATATTTTCGGATTATGTAGTAGTTTTATTTTGAATTTTTTCCCCGACAAATGCTTTACAGCAAACGCCTCTCCAAAAGTCTCTCCCGCGGTCATATTTGCTGTACAGCATTTGTAACTTCGTGAACAAAAGTTCAAAATAGAACCACGGCCAAATCCTAACAGATATCTTCATTAAAAAATAAAATTAATAATTTCAAGTAACCCCCGATACAAAAAAAAAACTCTAAAAAGTAAAAAAATACATTTCTCTCTAATGCTTTATTATTATCAATCTTCTTTTTATTTGTATTCTGGTTTTTATTTTATATACTATAATTAGCGATTAACCGACGCGACGTGGCGATGCTCATCATCAAAAAATTGTTACGTTCTATGAGTTAGACGATCGGAAATTAAAGCACGTCTTTTGCACTATTAAGGTCTTTTTGCTCTTGGTTAACAAGAGAGACTTATGGAGATTCACTAACACGCACAGTATATACTCAGTTCTGGTTAAAATCAGACACTAAATACTTGTTTTCACCACTGGATACACTTACACTATAACTTTCACACACTCCACTTTTCTTCACTTTTCTCTTTTCGTACTTCTTCTTAGTTTTCACTTAGCTTCGAAATTCAATTGATCTCTCGACACACTGCCGGCCTTTTTATATGAATAAACAAAGAACATTAAGACAAATTTATAACAAACTTTTTGCGTAGAGGGTTAAAATATTACAATTACATATCATAATAAATGCCAGTAAAAAAAATCGCAATCAAAATTATTTATAGCGTGATTACAAAACGGCTGTTTTTGAATGAAATCCTTTTAACTGTAAATAGAAATTTTATAATTACTTTTTAACTACAGAAGTAAACCAATTTCAAAGTCACTTTAAATGTAATTAGTTCACTTTTAAAGGGTAAATTTTTTTAGGGTTGATCTAAATCTGTTCAACAAGAGTATCACAAAATTCACACAAAAATTATAAAACAGGATTGAATTATGTCCTTTTTGAATAGAAATTAGTTCTGTGTGAAAACTAAATTTTCTTTATGTTGCCTCTTTCCTCTACTAAAATGTATGTAAATAATTGAAAAAAAAAACCAAATCTATACATATAATAAAACTAGAGGTCGAATGTCTGTACATATAAAAAATGCTAAGAACCGAGTCAGGGGGATATAAGAAGAGAAATAGAACAAATCCAGATTTTTTGTTTCTCTGTCTCTTTGTCTGTTTGTACGGGCTAATCTCCAAAACTATTAGTCCGATTTAAATGAAATGATGCGTGGTGATGCATTACATCCCCGGTCAACATTTTAGATACTTTTCATCCTGGGAAATTAAAGAATTCCCGTAGGATAGTTAAAAAACTATAGTAACTTATGCTTAGTGCACAAAAACTACTGATTGGACTTTAATGAAACTTTACAATAATATAGTTCATACATCAGCATAACAAATAGGCTAGTTTTTATCACAAAAAATGTACGATTCCCCTGGGATAGATTTGTTTTTGATTGTGTATATATAAAAATTATTACATATGTCTGTAATATATAAAAATGGAGAGGATGCCTCATAAATTCTTTCATGGCCAAATAATTCTTCAGCGTTTTCAGTGCACTTCGCAATATCTTTACTTTGTCTTGTTTGGAAAGAAACGCTTTGGCCCAAATAGATACTCTTCGACGTATTCAATCTTTACACCCTCTAATGTATATAATATAATGATACCATCTCCTGTTCGTTGACTGTTGAACATTTTTCACATTAACATTATTTTATTTCTATGATAAATACTAGGTTCTAATACTTATTTTTTATTGGATAATTTTAAC